CACTCTGTTAAAACACTGACAGAAAATGAAAAGGTTGCTCTTTTATAGGCTGATATGACTAGGAAGTATACTCTCATGCTGGAGTAGTTATTTAGGAGCTTTGCTGAGATGTTACATTACTTAAACTTAATCGTAATCCAGTTTTTATCCAGTCTGATTATAAAAAATACATTTTATTAATGTTTACTATTTTAAGCTGGTTATATTCACACACTGCTGCCACACAACTGTGTTTAAACCCCTTATAAAAGTGTTTTCTGCATAATAGGTCCCCTTTAAAGAATGATTAATCGATTATCAGAGCTTTAAATGGAAACCACTGATTTTTGATTGATTTATTTGTATACATGCGTGTGGTTTATGTGGTGTGTATTTGTATGTGGTGATGTAGAGACATTGTTAATAAAATAAACTCAAGATTCGTACTTCTGCTAAACACGAAACAGTTTGGCGTAAGATTAGAAATGTGACATTCGATATGGGTCAATAAATCAATAAAAGTTAACCATCTGCACTGAGAAACCTGAACACACTTAATGATTATCCACAGAACTATGCTGTCAAGATTTTGCAACATGACTGGAAATTACAACTGCTTCCTCTAAAATCCTCCTACGCCTTATCAGAAATAAATCAGTCAGCTTTCAAAGTTCACACTCAAATCCCTGATGTAGATTCTGATTTAGATTCATTTATAGACTTAAATACGGACTGATAAACACACGTTAAACTTATAAAAACCAGAGTTTGCTTGAAGAAGCAAACAATCCTACACATTTATAATTGTGATCGTGCAGTTATTCGGATTTTACATTTCTCCGTTTTTTTCTTCCGCGTGTTGGTGTTGATATCAGATTTCTGCAGCTGTGTGATTATCTACTCTGTTTTAATCGTATTACACAGTTTTATATATCAGTTTTCTGTAAACAAAACCTTGGTTAAAAAAATTCGGTCATCATTTCCTCCTCCATCCTTGAGTTTCTTTCTTCAGTTAAACCAACACAATCTCACAGCAATTCGTAACTTTTTGATTTAGTGGCTAATTCGTATTAATTCGTACGATCTAATTCGTACATTTTAGTACGGTTTGCTCATAACCCAATGACGGTTGGGTTTAGGGGTGGGGTTAGGAGCCACGCCTCCTTTTTAAAATCGTACGAATTTGTACGAATTAGCCACTAAACTGGCAAAACGTAAAATACTTACATTTTCTCGTGAGATCAGGCTGGTTAAACACAAAAGAAGATGTTTTGAAGAATGTTGGAGACCGGTAACCATTGACTTCCATTGTATTTTTTATTGAAGTCGATGGTCACCAGGTTCAAAATATCTTCTCGTGTGTACAACAGAAGAAACGAAACTTTTAAAGGTTTGGAACAATTTGAGGGAATAAATAGGGAGACAATTTTTATTATTGGGTGAACTGTCCCAATATTATCAGTTTGTTGGAGGTGTGGTATTGACAAAAAAAAAATAAAAAAATAAACAAATTACTGGTTTGATTTTAAGTTATTGCTAGGCCCACACGGAATCTGCACATGCAGTTTATTTTCCACCGATTTCCGCAGATTTTTAGCCTTTCATTGATTCTGTTTATTTACTTGAGTAAATGTGTGTAAATCTAAATATATTCAGTTTTTTAAATGATTACAGAAATATTATTGACTAATATGAACATGTTCATCTGATTTATACAATGCAGTTTGTACAGTAATATTTTCTGGTTCTCAAAGTGGGGGTCGGGACCCCCCCACAGTGTCGCGGGACAATGAAAGGCAGTCACCTGGTGATTTCCAGAAATGTATTCATTTTTACTAAACCATAAGAATTACCATATTTTATCCATTCATCCATTCATCTATCTATCTGTCTGTCTGTCTGTCTGTCTGTCTGTCTGTCTGTCTGTCTGTCTATCTATCTATCTATCTATCTATCTATCTATCTATCTATCTGTCTGTCCGTCCATTCATCCATCTGTCAATCTGCCAGTCCCTCCATCCATCCATCCATCCATCCATCCATCCATCCATCCATTCGTCTGTCAATCCATCCATCCATCCATCCGTCTATCTGCCTGTCCGTGGATCCATCCATCCACCCAACCGGTACCGTCTACCCATCTGTCCATCCATCCGTCCGTCTGTCCGTCCATCCATCTATCAGTCTGTCTATCCATCCATCCATCCGTCGGTCCATCTGTCTATCTGCCTGTCCATCCTTCCATCCATCAGCCTATCCATTTAACCATCCATCCATCCGTCCATCCATCTATCCGTCTATCCGTATCCATCCATCCATTAATCAATTAATCAATCAATCACTCTATCTATCTATCTATCTATCTATCTATCTATCTATCTATCTATCTATCTATCTATCTATCTATCTATCTATCTATCTATCTATCTATCTATCTATCTATCCGTACATCCATCTGTCTGTCAATCCGCCTGTCTATCCATCCCTTCATGTCAATCCATCCATCCGTCCATTCATGCATCCATCCATCCACCCACCCGGCACCGTCCATCCATCCATCCATCCATCCATTAAACAAAACTAAAACAAAAATTATATATCTAAAACACAGGATCACCACAGGACCAACCTCTTCATTAAAACAAGAAAGCTCATTCAATTAACATTAGTCAAAGGAGGAATTACTGCTAGCTGTGTGTTAATAAGAAAGTTGTTCTGTGAGGAGCATAATAAGAAAAAGCTGATTTCCCATGTTCAGAATGAACTCCCGGCATCGAATTCCAGGTGAAGGTCTGCTGGAATATTTCTCTCGGCTCAAACACAGAAGACTAGAAATATATTGTGGGTCATCGCCTGAGGCGCCTTTACAATGAACATATGTGATCTCCTCCTTTGATGTAAGGAGGACTAGACTACATTACTGTACAGCAAAACATGGTGGTAAAAAGTATGGCAAGCATTAGACAACATCAAATAAACCGAGCTAAAACATCAAATTAAAACTTAAATGAAGTGAAAGTAGCTTAAAAGCATATGCTGTGGTGAATTTGGGATGGTATCATTATTTACAGTGTAATATAATCTATATAATGTGTACTGCGTTACTTTGAGATATCGAGAGATATATATATATATATATATATATATATATATATATATATATATATATATATATATATATATATATATATATATATATATATATATATCGAGTCAAAAGGATACGTATAAAGCAAGAAGCCTCGGTGTGTTTGAAGCTTTCAGAGTGACTGTGAGGAACTT